GTCGACTTCTACACCTGCTTCGGGATCGGCATCATCATCTTCACCCCAGCTTCGTCTTCACCCGGCTCGCTCCCACGTCCACAAGCCTCTTCACCAGGCTTCGACTCTAGGCGGCGCGGGCCCAGGGCCGAAATCTACGGCTTCGACGCCATCCTCCTCTCGGGCAAGTGCATGTTGGGGTTCTCCGGCTTCTTCGTCTGCCTCTGCTTCATCATCATCCTGCTCAACACCGATGACTTCTTTGAGCATTTTCATCTGCTCCATGATGTCCTCAGGTACGCGTCGATGACGATGCTCCTTGCATTTCGGTCTCCAACCAAATAGGGAATATCATCTTCACGTGTAGATGAACTATCTCCTTTTCAAGTGTTGTCATGAACGGCAACTTCCCACAAATCCAGTGAAAAGAATAAACCCATCTTCATACATCGTCGACCAATAGATAACACCGTCGGCATCTCATCCAGAACAAAGGGTTGGACTTTTTCTTTCAGCTCATTCACGTAGTACTTGATAGAATCCGAAGTGGATGTAGTACCATTTGCCGTTTGGAAGACAATTTCGTCCTTGTCCTGAACAATGTCAACACCGAGGGAGGCCGCCTTGGGTTTGCCGATCAAACCATGACCACACCCTGTGTCCATCAGCCACAGACAGGGCGAATAGACTGATAGGTTGTCCGTGCTTCCTTTTCCATCGCACGACTCCTTCCGTGATCTCGTCATCCTCCTTGTCATGCTCGAAAATGAAGGTTCGCTCTTTGTTCATTGGCATCTTGTGAGTGCGATATATGTCATTGGCCGCCTCGTCATCTCAGATCTGATGAGTGCTTTCTTGTGACTATACGAGGCGCCGACGATGATCATATATCTTGAACGTCTTGGCATCGATCGTGGATGTTTGGGACGTGTCCTCATAACTTCCCTTGTGCCACATCGAATTGTTCCGCCATTGTCCGTCCTCATTCTTCAGGTACTCCACCTCACGTCATTGTCAAGAATCTCTTGAAACCATACGTACTTCTCGGGTATCTCAGTCTCACCTGACCATCGCGAAGATTCACTCATGGCGTCTTCTGCATCACGGTCGTGATACACAGTCTCGACCTCGGCTTCACTCTCCTCAGTGTTCTTGTCGTCCTTTTTGACTTCCGAAGTCGCGGCTCTCTTGACAGTGATAGCGGGCATTGCGATGTGAACCTTTCTCACAATTGCTGGAGCTGCTGCTTTGGGCTTGGCTTGCGCCTTTGCCTGTTGTTTGGCGTTCGGTGCTGGAGCGGATGCCTTGGGGTTTGCTGGTTCTGCATGCTTGTACTTGCATTGATCCCCTTTTGCGCACTTCCTTCTCTCAATGCATAGCAGACCCCGTCCCTCTTCGGTGAAGGAGTCCTTGGTGCTTTGCCGCCGCCTTTGCCCTTGCCTTTCTCATTGTCCAGTTTGCGCTTGTGCTTGGGGTTGTGGGAATATGGACAATCTTTGCCTTTAAGACATCCTCCTTCCTTCGTGTAATGGAAAACACATGGCCATTCCTTCTTCGCTTCAGGGCTCATGCTTTTCCCTTTTCCTTTTCCTTTGCCCTTCTTGTCGCGGTCTTTTTAGCACTGGCGCTGCCGTGTTTCCGTCTTCATGATCGGCTTCCTTCCCGGAACCCCCTCCTTTTCCCTTTCCTTTCTTTTCTGCTGGTGCCGCATTCTTGTTGCTGCTCAGCAAGTTCTTGGCCGACTTCTCTTTCATGTCGTAGACGTAGTCTTCGCGATCAGTCCGAAGTTGTCGATCAATCAATCCCAAAAGGAATCGGTAGGTCTTCTCGGGGTGTGTGTCCGGTACCCGCGCATAGGTATTGAGACCAAATTCCAGCATCCTGCTCCCTTTGATCTTGTGATATGGGATATCCCGTAGCGTGATTTCTCTGGGTGTATCCTCCTTCCTCAGGTTGAGCAAGATATCACACCACTTGTTGCACAACACGGACATGTTCTTGTCCCCGACATAGTCCAGTCTGATCAAGTGCTCAATGGTGAAAACCATATCTGATCGGTCACTCGATCTGAAGGATTGCAAAATGATAGCGATCCTGTTTTCTCTTTGGCGTCGTTCGGCGTGTAACTGAATATCATGTGCCACGTCTTTCTCATCATCAGGCGCGCTTCTGATCATCGTCTGGAGCGATAAGGCCAGCTTAATATCCATCCTTGCGAATCGTTCACCCCCCGAATCGGCTAAAAAATCAAGGTCAGGATTTACCACGAAAGCACATGCCAACCATGACATCCACACTTCGATATCCGGATCCGCTGAAGCGCTGGTGACGTTCATGGCGAGTGCCATCTTCCAGCCGTCCAGCTTCGTGATCTTCGGCAATGGAGGTACGTTGACTTTCTCAGCCTCCTTCCGTGATATCCTTGGATTGTTGTGACTTCTGCGATCTCTCGACCTCCTTCTTCGTGATGATCTCCTGTTGCGACGACGGTCATCATCATCATCATCATCGTCGGATGGTTCCTCTTCGTCGTCCTCGTCTCCATCATCATCGTCATCAGGTGGATCAGGTGGATTTGGTCCTTGTGCTGCGGCTGGGACAGGAGCCCGTCCTAGACCCCCCGCATTTCCATCTGTATTGCGATAACCGAGACCAGGTGGACCGCCATCTCTGTTCAATACGGACTCGCAGAACGAGGAGAACACTATTCGTGGTTTGCGCGAGAGATTCGAAACAGCATTGACGCCACAACCACGATGGCGATTGACGACGAGCCGCGAAGTGCATTGGTGAGCAAAGCGAACGACGCCATCAGGTACGCCGAACAGGAAGCCCACTGCGCACGGGTTGCCGTGAGCGAACGGGACGAGATGTATCTGATCGGCCAGCGTGCAGCGCAGGAACGTGACGCAAAGATGAATGAGGAGATCAAGATTGCAAGAGATAGAGCTCATAAAGGAAATGCACAACAAGATCGCGCCACGCTGAGGGATCGGGAGTTCGACGACGTGACTCGCGAACTCGCTGCATCGAGGCAAAAGGCCAATGATGCGCAGTCCGATTACCTCAATCAAATCCCTGCAATGGCTGAAGAGATTGAAGAGACACGGCGCGAGCTCAAGATCCAAGAAAGCTTTGTATATCAGCTGGCAGAGACAAACAAGGAGCTCGAGAGTGAGAACGCCACTCAAAGCATCGTTGTGGCGGACTCCAATGATCGTGGACGAGGTCTACTGAGGGAAAAATTCTGATAGGACCAGTAAGCGCCATAGTTCGAAGACCCGTAAGAGTGATACCACAAATGGGCCTCAACAACAAGGTCAGGTAACGCTCTATCAGGCTACTGTGGCAACATCTAGTTCTAGTGTACAGGCGCCCAATGTTCCAAAGCGAATTGGGGGCTTGGACCGGGTTTTTGTTTTGTTTCCTGTTTACCAAGATCCAATGATACAGGCTCATATCGACCAACTCCATGAAGCAGTAGGATCTATTCCAAAGGTCACATTTGGTTTTCTTCACCTGATAGGAGTTGATCATTGATTGGTACTGTGCAATCTCAGAAGAAACCCTTCTCCTCTCTTGCTCAGCTTTGTTCTTGCTAACCAATGTGCTTCCCTCCTCGCATCTGATTCGATGTTCAAGCAGATCAACAGTTGCGGCCATCTCTTGCGCTTCTCGTACTCGAGGACTTTGTGTCGGGCTTCTTCTTGATACTCTCCATAGATCCTCACAAAATGTTGCGCTTGATCTTCGGATAGTTTTGTCTTCCCACGTTGAATGTCAATGTACTGAGCAGCTTCTCGAAGTTGTTCGTCGGATCTTTTGAGGATATGAGCTACTTGCTGATCCGACATACCAGCTCTCCGCTCAAGTTCCTGAATGCGCGTGACATTGCCACGGTCGTCACGTTCATATGACTCCTGTAGCATAGCCAAATTGCGCGTAGCCTCTTCCACTTCCTGCCTGAGGGTCTCTTTACTTGAGCCTGTAGGCGATTTCGATCGCCCTTTCTCTTTCCTCACAGGACTCATGACGTCCTTCACGCTCCTTCTCGGTGGATAGTGAAGCTGACTACGATCTCTTCTTTTCTCCGTTCCTGGACCACACAGCATGACCAACTTCTTTCCAGGAGGAATGTGATTGGTCGTGGCGAAAACCAGAACTTGCACTTTGTTGTGTGTCCGGAGAGTCCGCGATTGCCGGCACAGCAAACATACCTGTGGAACCACTGGAACTGTCATTTCCAAAGGTTGCAGTTCCTGGGCTTCCGGAAGAACCCATTGTACGGCTGTAAATATGATTTCAACAGGTTGTATTGTACCGCAGTTGCCGTCCACCGCTGGGACCAATTGCAAGCTTACGGCTGATAACCTGCCAGGAGGCGAATCAACCACGAAGTCAATGCCGTGGGGTGACGACCACTACCCTCGGCTGTGGAGTCGTGTAGTAGGGGTCGGTGTAAATAGGGGGTGTAAGGATAATATGGCCTGCGTTGTCTCACAAATAACTGCGACAGCGGAGCACGGTCCTTTTGCCTCTTTACAGCTTTCCGTCTTGATCCACTTATCAAGAACTTGAGCCTTGAGCCAAAACATCCATGCGCATGAGTCGGCGCAACAACATCCCCGCAAAGGTTCGAGGGACCTTAAAGGAGGGAAAGAGAACAGGGTGACCCTCACCCTTGGGATTTTGGCCTGGGGCCCGGAGATTCTTAGCAGTTGCTGTTGTCGTTGGCGCCTTTGTGATTGTTGTTGCTGCTGCTGTTGTCGGTGGATCTCTCGACTGGCGCGGGTGGGATGCGAGCAGGAAATGGCAAAGCCAGGCACCAAAAGCCTGGCTCTGAAAGCAGGAAATCTCGAAAGTGCTGAGCTTGACATGTCGATGCAAGAGTGTGAGGCATATGTGAGACCGGAACGCGCGTTCTCTTTCATCGTTCACAACGCACGTAGGGTCTCCTCCCCAACAATGTGTCTGGAAATTGGATACGACATCACGCTTGCAAAGCGAAGCCTTCCCTCGGCCTGAGTCGGACCCTGCCCGGAAGTTCTCGATGCGCTTGGACAGCGGCAGATCGCAGCCCCGCACCCGCAGCAGGCTGAGATAACCTGCAAGCGGGATGAGTTCCGGGGAAAGAGCCCCAAAAGCAGCAGACACCCTGATTGAATATGGGCTACTTGCGCAACACTTGCTGCTCTTTGTTTTGCTCTTTGAGCGTCAAAGGGCTTGGTTTCGTCTCGCTTTTCCTTCAGACACGCAAAAGCGTCATTTTCAACACGGAGTTCCTTCACAATTTGAATTGAATGCACAGAAAGACATGCGGCTTCATGTCCAGAAACCATTCTTGATGGCGGTCTCCTTAAATTTCATGGCCATATGACACCTCTAACCCCCCTAAACTGAAGCTCAAGGATTGCCTTGTCAGAAAGAAGGCAATGCTGAAATCAACCAGAAAACTCAGAAATCTGCCTTTCAAAGGTCTGGTAAGTGGCTACAAATTTTGACTCTTCCTATAAGGGGAATTCCCGGGAGCAAAATCAGAGGCGCACTTCAAAATCCGCGTGAGGGTGCCAAGGCGTCGCACGCAAACTGTCCCGAAAGGCAACCTCCAAGTCTCAAAGGAGATGCAATAAAGAAAGGACAGAAGAGGTAAAGCCACATCTTCTTCGCTACCGGTCCACACATCGAAGCCAAGTCTGTTGAAACCAAAAACAAGATAGGGCTGATGAAAGCTTGCTTTATCAGCTCCTATTTTCCGCCGGCGGACAGAGGTACGGGTAGACGGCGTCGCAGCCGAAACCAAGCAAGCAGCAGAAGTGGTGGATTTCCTGAGCAAACGCGTCTAAACCGAAAGTTTTCCAAAGATCGATCTATGAAGCCAAGTCTGTATACATATGTAATGTATGCATGTACGTACGTATGTACGTGTGATAGTGTGTAACCATGCGAAACACAGTCAAAATTACTTACTTGCGGCCGTTTCGCTACTTATCTCGTAAAACAAGTCTTGCGGGAAAAGGAGAGGAGCAGAAAGAAAGGCAGGGAGGAAAGGGAGGAAAAGGGAGGAAGGGAGGAAGGGAGGAAGGGAGGAAAAGGGAGGAAGGGAGGAAAAGGGAGGAAGGGAGGAAAAGGGAGGAAGGGAGGAAGGGAGGAAAGGGAGGAAGGGATGGGCAGACCACCTGCCAAGGCTAGAAAACTTTCCCAAGCAATGCGATAGAAATAACTACGTACGCGTTGCGCGTGTGCGCCGCGCAACCCGCGCTGCTGCCCGGCGTAGTTGGCTTGGCTGCTCTGACACTCGCACCCGCCCGGCCCGGCACGCGCAGTCCGTTTGCACGTAACCAGAAGGAGAGTGACAAAGCGCAGGGTACTACAGAGCGCATGCTCTTTTCCTACTCACGTGATACAACCTAACTCTCTAGAGTGGCTTTCTCAGCCTCTCAAAATTTTGCAGCTGGGTGGCCAAGAGGTCGTAGAGCTGCGCCATGTGGGCCAGGTGCGGAAGCTTGGTGAGGCTGTCCGCCGGATTGTGGCTGTGTGGTATCCGCCGCAACCTTGCCCGAAGTCTCGCCTTTCGGGTCCATGACCGTTGGTGGTCCTCTGAGGCCCATTGCACCTCCACGTCTTCCATGATGCTCCTAGGGTCGAACCTCGACTTCTTGAAGCTCTGCCATGCGACACCCTGCGACATGCTGCTTCTCCATAGCTGCCAGCGCAGTGCTAAGCGTTATGCTTTCGCACAAAGTTGTGCTGCCAGCTCGCCGTCGAAGTCTCTTGCTTCGCCATGCAATCAAGCTTACCGGAGCCTGTTTCCCAGCATTCAACTGTGGTGCGGTAATGCCTTGCGCACAAATCCGACAATGGAAGCCGTTTTGCCCAAGGAAAAGCCCGCTGATTAGCAGGTTATGAGCCCAAAGGCGGCGAGATGATGGCCCGGCGGCTCGGGAATGGGTCGCTGGAGGAGGGGCGCTACGACAAGGACACCGGCACCAAGGCGATCGGAAGATGCTACGTTGGGGCCAAGGAATTTGTGGCCTGCAGCTTCGGCAACCCCTAGGGCATCGTCTGCGGATCCTAGTCAAGGACAAGGAGAACTTCAGCGGTGGAGTGGGGGACCTCAAGGAGAACCGGTGGTGTATGGGCCGCTCTTCACCCCGGAGCAGTTGGAGTACCTGGAAAGGTGGGACAGGCCTGGTGGAGGTCTGGTGAATCTGAGCTCGGCAACAGCAGCTCAGGAGCCAACGCTGAGGAGGCCCGCATTCCTGAAAAAAAAAAAAAGACCACGCCACAGGCAGGACCAGATGGAGGCGCTCGACACCCACGACGGCATGATCAGGTTGATGGAGATTCAGAGGCTCAGGGCCGAGAACGACAGGCTCAGGAAGGGCAACCAGTCTGAAGAGACCTACGTGACGCCGGACGTCGAGGTGGAATGCAGCAGATCCGGAAGAAGATTCTGAACGGTGGCAGTAGCCACGCAGGCGAGGATGAGAATGCGGAGGTGGTGAAGTCGGCGGTGGAGCTGCCGATGCTGCCGGAGCTGAGCGCGGACACCGGCCCGGTCGACCTTCAAGATTGGTTGACGATGGTGGGTCCGATGATGGCGGACCTCTCGGACACCAGCCAGGAATGGTGGGAGCTGATGTTGAGGCACACCAAGAAGTGGTACGATAAGTACATGACGGAGCCGCCGTTGCAGAGGTTGCTGTTGACCCCAACACGTCCGAGCAAGGTGTGCAACGGAAGATGGAGGCGGGTGGAGCGTCGGGCGGTGACCTTGCTCATGAAGGCTCTGCCGGATCAGGTCAAGGAGGAGTTGATAGCGACTAAGAGCCTGGAGGTGTTCTCTTTGATCTGCAGGCTGATGTTGCTGTACCAGCCGGGTGGAGCGGCGGAGAGATCGGCCATTCTCAAGAACCTGGAGCAACCCCAGGAAGCGATGAGCATTCAGGCGGCGGTTCAGGGAATCAGGCTTCGATGGCGGCGGAGGGCGGAAGAGATAGGCGTTTCGCTTCCAGACCCGTCGGTCTTGAACAGAGGATTGCAAAGGCTGACGAAGAAAGTTCTGGAGAACAACAAGGACCTGAACTTCAAGATCAGCCTGGCCAGATCAGCCTTGCAGGTGGATACGGCGCCGAACTACAGCACCATCAACACGTACTGCAAGCACCTCCTGTCGGAGCTGGAGCAGCTGGTCCACACGGAGAAGAAGGTCGCAAAGGCCCCGGACACCGACAGCAAGGTGAAGAAATTCGAAGGAGCTGGAGCTGGATATGGAGGTGGAAAAGGAGGAGAATCCTGTGCTCCAAGAAAGGAAGGAGAGGCACGAGAGAGAAAGCCCTGCCGGTACTACCTCACGGATGCCGGATGCAGAAGAGGTCGGCAATGTACCTTTGCCCACGACGCGAAGGACGACAAGAACAGATGCTACGAATGCGGGGCCACGGATCACTACCGCAAGGATTGCCCGAGGAAGCAGCAGGAGAAGTCACCGGGCAACAAGATGGACGAAAGTCCCGGGAAGATTGCCAAGGTGTCGGAGGTCGAAGAGGAGGAAAACAATCGTCAGGAGGGCGACCAGGAGGAGACGTCATCGGCATCCACGGCTACCTTGAAGGGGAACGCCAAGAACGCCAAGGACGGAAATGAAGGAGACTCAACATCAAGGCATCGGCAGCAACGGACCGCAGAGAGAGGGATGATCGGTTGAATGATCTACAGAAGCAGCTCGATCAGATGCGCAAGATGAGAGCCTTGAGGTTCGCGAAGGTGTCGAAGATCGACTACCAGCACAAGTATGGGCTGCTGGACTCTGGGGCTACGCACTCGATGAGAGGCGCATGCTCAGGGGATGCTGTGGAGAACCTGGAAAAGATTCAGGTGGGGATGGCGGGAGGAGAAAAGAAGGAGCTGCTGATGACGACCGGGAAGGTTATCATCCACGAAGACGGAGATGCGTTGCTCATAGAGAAAATGGGATGCGAGGTGACGTGGACAAGGAAGGGAGCTTGCAGACTGAGGCACCCAACCATGGGCGAAATCCCGGTTTGCACAAACGCGGGTTGCCCGGAGGTGGAGAAAGGCGTCGCTCTTGCCCTGATAGATGCCTTGGAGGAGCTTGAGGAGGGAAGAGACGCCAAGTTGAACAAGATCAAGGAGGAAGACAGGGTAGTGGACCTGATCAAAAGTGAAAGAGCCTTCGACGGAGTTCCGGGATGAGGTGATAGAGAAGGTGGTGATTGCCCCGGCCAAGGACCTGAGCGGAATCCCCTTGAGCAGATCCCGGAGGAGGAAACTTCAAGAAGGTTTTGTGGTCCACTTGTATGCCGGCGAGGAAGAAGGCTACACCCTCAGTCGGGCTCTTAAGGAGGCTGGAGGAGGCAAGACAAGGTTGGTGGAAATCGATCTGAAGAGAGGAGCCAACCACGACATGATGAAGGACGAGGTCTACGCGGCGTTGATGGGCGCGGCTTTGAATGGCCTGATGCTTGGAGTTGTGGGATGCGCGAACTGCCGCACCCGGAGCGCGCTACGACACTATCCTCTACCGGCTGGAAGACCAAGGCCGGTTCGGGGGGCAGCTCCGGAACATTGGTTTGGCTTGCCTGAGGAGGAAAAGAGACAGGTCTGGGAAGACGACGTTCTCATGTACCGCATGATCATGCTCTACTGCGCGGCTGAAGAAGGAAGAAGGAACAGAGGACTTTGTGGAGCAGCGAAGACAGACCTGCTGGAGCAGCCTAGAGAGAGAGAGTAGAGAGAGAGAGAATAGAGAGAGAGAGTAGAGAGAGAGAGTAGAGAGAGAGAGTAGAGAGAGAGAGTAGAGAGAGAGAGTAGAGTAGAGAGAGAATAGAGAGAGAGAGTAGAGAGAGAGAGTAGAGAGAGAGAGTAGAGAGAGAGAGTAGAGAGAGAGAGTAGAGTAGAGAGAGTAGAGTAGAGTAGAGTAGAGTAGAGTAGAGTAGAGTAGAGTAGAGTAGAGTAGAGTAGAGTAGAGTAGAGTAGAGTAGAGTAGAGTAGAGTAGAGTAGAGAGAGAGAGAGAGAGAGAGAGAGAGAGAGAGAGAGTAGAGAGAGAGAAGAGAGAGAGAGAGAGAGAGAGAGAGAGTAGAGAGTAGAAGTAGAGAGAGTAGAGAGAGCGAGTAGAGAGAGAGAGTAGAAGAGAGAGAGTAGAGAGAGAGAGTAAGAGAGAGAGAGAGTAGAGAGAGAGAGTAGAGAGAGAAGAGTAAGAGAGAGAGTAGAGAGAGATAGTAGAGAGAGAGTAGAGAGAGAGAGTAGAGTAGAGAGAGAGTAGAGAGAGAGAGAGAGAGAGAAGTAGAGAGAGAGAAGAGTAGAGAGAGAGAGTAGAGAGAGAGTAGAGAGAGAGAGTAGAGAGAGAGAGTAGAGAGAGAGAGTAGAGAGAGAGAGTAGAGAGAGAGAGTAGAGAGAGAGAGTAGAGAGAGAGAGTAGAGAGAGAGAGTAGAGAGAGAGAGTAGAGAGAGAGAGTAGAGAGAGAGAGTAGAGAGAGAGAGAGTAGAGAGAGAGAGTAGAGAGAGAGAGTAGAGAGAGAGAGTAGAGAGAGAGAGTAGAGAGAGAGAGTAGAGAGAGAGAGTAGAGAGAGAGAGTAGAGAGAGAGAGTAGAGAGAGAGAGTAGAGAGAGAGAGTAGAGAGAGTACATGCCGGATTGCGGATCCTGGTGGAGGACGGGCAACTTCCGAGACCTTCGGGATCAGCATGGGTTGGTGGAGTATAGCTTTCGGCAAGGAGACTATGGTGGTGTGGCGGTCAAGCCAACAAGGGTGGTCACGAACCTCCAGCTGAGCATGCCGGCGACCCGGTCAACTACGGCGACTACCAGAGAAGAGTCCATCGGCGACGCTATCCCGATGGGCACCGGGCATGATGAAGGAGGTTGCAAGAGCGCTGAAGGCCATGTGCAAGTTGAGTTGGCGTGAACATCTGCTACACGGACATACTCCCTTTCGCCGGGACTGCCGAGTATGTCAGGAGGCATCAGCAAAGGGGAGGAGACACTGTAAGGTCGACTATCCCGAGGCGGTGGTGTTGAGTGTGGATCTCAGCGGACCGTACAAGCTGGGCAAGGACATCAACGACGCTACGTCGAGGTACTTCCTCATCGGAACGTACACCTGGCCTTCGGAGGAGGAGCAGAAGGAGTTCTTCCCAAAGGAGGATGGAGGAGAAGCAGACGATGAGGCAGACCTGCCAGAAATCGAGGAAGGAGAAAAAGAAGAGAAAAAGAAGCGGAAGAGGAGCAGCAGGATGAGAAGGAGAAAGACGAGCTAATGAAGCCTGTGGCCCACCGAGACCATTGAAGGTGATCGTGATGGTTGTGCCGCTGCCGGACAAGAGGGGGCAAACGGTGATGGAGGGGATCCAGCACCTGTACATCAAGCTGAAAAGACAGGGATACCCCATCCAGCGGCTGCACTCAGACAGGGGGGAGGAGTTCAACCATGGTCTTCGGAGATGGTGCTTGGTGCGGGAGGTGGAAAAGACTACGACAAGTGGACTCTCCCCAAGAGAACGGAATGGAGGCATGCATTGGAAGCTTGAAGAGCAAAATCAGAAGGCTGCTGAAAGGAGCGGAACTGGCGGTGAAGTTTTGGCCCATGGCGGCCAGATATGCAGTCGCAGCAGAGGAGAAGAGGTTGAAGGGTGAACGGATGGTGGCGAGCTTTGGAGAAGAGGTGTGGGTCCGTTTGGGCCGACCCATGAGAAGGCGCGCTACTTGGCCGAGATCCCGGAGGTGACAAAGGGACATGGAGTCCTACGACAAGATGGAAAGTTTGAGGTGGTAGGTGGTGACTGGAGTAAGGGAACCCAAGGACGAGGATCCAGAAGAACA